GCACAGATACCCACATTCATTTCTGCAAATGCATAAGTGCCGTAACTTAAAGCTGAAAAACAGAACATTATTTTTAGATTAAGTTTACGTAGCACATCATTTAGCAGTTTATTCACCTTAATATAATATATGTTTTTCCGTGTTCTCTATTTAAAACTTGGCAGATCAAAAGTATTGATTTCATGACAAGTTCAGCTCGCTGGTCAGATGATTGCCAAGCCTCCTCTGCATGTGAATTCCCCAAAGCCTGCCTGTTGAGATGTACATCTGATTGAGCCATGCCTCAGTAATACGGCTTGACAACATGCAAGGAGTTGCCATGTTTCCTTTGCAGCCTTAATGCACTTTACTGAAAATCTTCCTAACTCAAGACTGGTTAGCAAGGAGAAACATTTAGGGGGTATATTCTAAAATGAAACCAAATGCTACTTTATAGCAGATACCCAATCGGAGGGTAAGCCGCTAAGTGCCCTAGAAACACTCAGGGCAGACTTTTCGCATTGCTAAAGATGGAACTTACCGTGGTAATCCTTGTATAATGGATTGGTTTCTCTCTCAGAGCCAATAAATGATTCAAGACCAACTACCACATCTGACAAGTTTGTTACACGTTCCATAATTGCTTTATTCTGTAAGACATGGAAACAAAATACACATCCTATGTGATGAAAAAGGTAATTACTGTTCATAGAGTAAGCTTTGGTCTTCTCAGTGACAAACTGTGGGGAAAAAATAGGTCATCAATACTTAGAAATTACATTAGAGCGCTTTTTTCTTTAAAAAAAAAAGACTTGAAATTTCTGTCTGTAGAAAACATACATTTCACAAACTGACACCATAAAAGGGCTAACTCAACACTAAATTTGTATTTTCCTAAATCTTCAAAACATAAGATGCAGTTAAGCATCTCTCATTGACTTCTATTATGAGTCAGATGCCCAGCTTTTTGTGTGTTCTGAAAACCTTGCTTTTTAATACACTTAGGCATATCACCTCTACTATTTTGAGCAAGCACAACCCACATGATTATTCATTTTGGTCATCAGTCAAACAACATGGAAAACCAAAGCCTTTTCTCCAGTATTTTTTTTTTTTTCCAAAAGTTCCTCTCTACACAACATAAGAATCTAAAGCTTCAAATTTCTCAATATATTTGTGATTTATAAGTGATGCCTTATGTCTTGTGCAAAATGTACTGTCATGTGCTGTAAATAAGCTGTTTTCTGTATAGTTTTCTTTACTCAATTTTATATCACAGAAAGCAACATTCAAAGGTCACAACCAAGATCTTCAGAGGTAACTCAGGATAAAGTGTTCCTAAATGCTTTGATGATGTCAGCATTTAATGCTCAAAAAAAACCCCAACCAAACATTGCTTTAAGTTAAGAGGTAGTTATCTTAAAGCTGCCTGGACAGCTGGTATACTCTTGCTCTTGATGGCTGTACGGGCTATACCCATCATACCTTCAGGGGTATCAAGACCAATCACTTCAAAATACCCATTCCAAGTATGAAGAATTAGGTCTGTAGCTCCAAGTTAGAGTTTTGTAATTTTTATTACTTTTAAAGCATTTTGTACATTCTGCACTTCCTTCTTAAACTATACGACCGATGCTTATTATAAAAGGTCAATATAAATACTGGTAAATTATTTGATAATAAGAATTTATAAAGCAATAAGGAGCAGAGAGAAGTGAAATGTCCCTAAACACGTCAGAAAAGTCTATGCATTGTACGAACATACAGGTTTATTAAAATGGTGATCTGTACACCAATTGCTTTCATGCCTGCACACTTCAATATCAGAGTACTTCCCAGCTGCAGAGAAGCCTATGAAGCAGTCGTGAAAGGTGAACATTTCCTGCTCCCATCAAAGCATAATCTGAATTCTGTTTTCATAAAGAGACTTGTGGCCTGTCTTGCACAGTCCAATCTGCTCAGGTTACGAGGCCTAAATCCACTGATCCCATGGTACCTTTACACCCCCTCCCTTCCCCACCTTATGGGCCAGATGGCATTAAATCCTGGGACTGGTCTCTTTTCAAAGCCGCTATCTGTGCACAGGCCAAAATGATCTATCCCCATGGAATCGGGGAACTTCAATTTTACTTACAAAGTCTAAGGATGGATAATGACAAAATAGCATTATACTACAGAATTTCCTTTCTGAGGAATAACGTAAGTGATCTGAGGTCAAAGAACACTGCCTACACATCAATCCCCAAACTTTCTTATTATATCCACCCCTGAAATAGTAATGCTGACTTGCAAATTATTTTCTCTTCTAGGAAGAGAGAGACAGTACACTATATTTTAATGGAAATATTTAGTCACATTATTCTACAGGGCCAATCACATAAAGGTAGCATAAACACAAATCTGAAGTACGCAGTGACATCTATAAATCCACAGACCAGAAATTACCATATTTTGCCAGTTCTTCAGCAGGCTGCTGGATGTTATTTGTATAAGCAAGAAATACAAAATTGTTACATAAATAAATAAATTATGACGATTTCTGGAAGCCAACCTAAACTCTTGGTATAGAAAAAAATATCCTGTCATTTAAAAAAAAAAAAAATTGCTTTCCATCAACATTTTCACTTGCTGGTTTTGATAAAATGGGTTACAAAAACTATGGATAGAAAGATGCTCAACCATCAGCAAGTATCCTTATCATTAACAGTCCTGCAAAACATAAGAATAGCATCTTTCCTATTTGGTCCTAACTCTGGAAAGATTAAAGTGAGGAATAGCAACTCACTATTTGCCTAACGATACATACTTCAGTATGTTGGTTTCAGCTCTTCTTCTGAACAGGGTTGCTTTCTTAAATTGCAGTCTGTTTGCCCATGTTGATTTTGTTTTTGTTTTTAAAGTGTGTCAAAATATTCTCCTGGCTTAATGCACTGTATCCTGGGAAATACTTAGCACAGTGAATCGCCACACCAAATAGACATTTGCTTATGTGGCATTGCTGCCATAGATCTGTATCTATCATGTATTTTCTAGTTTGCAGTGTTCAGCACATTAATGTCCAATCAAAGCTGACGTCAGCACACAGATAGTTGTGATGTATGGCATACTGACATAAACACACAAATCATGTTGCCCCATCTGGGCCTGAAAATTTAACAGAGCTCCAGATCTTCCTCCAGCCCCATACAAATCTACCTCCTGCTTCTGGCATAAACTTGGCAGCTCTGGAGGTGAGCCAGGACATGGTTAGGAGGGAAGCCAGGAATGGGGAGATT